TCATTACAAAATGAACAAATCTGAGAGAGGTCCACATGTAGTACCTATATATGTAATATCAAAGCATTTGCACTTGCGGTTTTTAACAAGAAGTCGAAAATATCACTTTTTACCAAAAATGACAAAAATATTCACCAAAATTAGAGAATTGAAGATATCAACATGAAATGAACAAACCTAAGAGAGGTCTACCCAAGGTACATATACACCAAGTATCAAAGCATTCAGGCTTGTAGTTTTCAAGAAGAAGTCGAAAAAGTAAAACATTGACACGGACGACGGACGACGACGGACAATCACTCATATGATAAGCTCCGCTCGACAAAGTCGACAGCGGAGCTAAAAACTCCATGATTGTAACCCTGGATCCATGACGTTGTTAGTGGCCGTGGGCTTATTATATTCGGTCGCTTGACTGCCCACTCAACACCAGTCAAGCGACCGATGTAAATATCGTCCGCTCGACACAACGACATGGGACCAGGGCTACCATGATTGCAGTGACATTTGTCCATTTCAGATTTCAGTCATGTAAAGGAATGAATTGACTTACGTAGGAATGTATTCCGGGATATTAGTAATATTAGCTGAACGCCACACTTTACATGTAACCAGAGCAAACGAAAACTGTATAATACGGTTCTGTCCTGACGCGGCATGTGATGTAATTTTTATTTATAAATTGTGATGTAATTTCTATTTATAAATTTCTTTTTGAATGATCGTGGGGAATCCGTTATAGCGCCCCCAGGTAGCGCTCCCTTGGTAATAGGGTCATAGGTTATATCCAACATGGCCGATTATGAGCGCGAAGACGTCCGACATGGAGTAAGTGTTTTTAACTTTTACAAAGACTTAATTTGGTTAAAATGGGTTTTAGGATAGTGTATCACAATAATTACGTTTTTTGCTTGCTATTCTGTCCCGAGCTAGCAAATAAGTCGCCTTATACATCAGCAAAGGAGCAGAAGGAGCAGCTAAACTCGTCCACTGGTAGTAGAGACAAAAATGAAGGCAATAAACTTAGGACATATAAACAATTTAAAATAAACTATGAACTTGAAAATTATCTAAATGAAATAAATAACTTTAGC